CTGAATGAGTATCTCCATTACCTAAGAAAAAGGTTTTCACAATGAAATAATATTGAAATATTTTTTTCCTAAATATAAATTGCCAGAGTGAGTGCAGCCATTCATTTTTTCACACCATGCACATGATAAAATCATGGTGCATACTAGTATGTGTGCCCATCTGCTCGGCAGGATAACAACTAACCAACCTGCAAAGGTACACCATCTTGCCTGTAACATAACAAGCCCGGTTTAGTGAAGGTCAATTACAGCGCCATCTTCCTCATCAAGACACGTTTCTCGCAGTACCCACTGGCTGCAGGAGCTTTTGTGTACAGAGGTAGCTCCCCAAGGAGAGGTTACCTGGTAAATGATGTGAACGTAAGGAGGATCCTGAAAGAGCGGATACACTGAAGAGGGTTTCTTCCCACTATGTAGAAAGTGTGTGAGTTCAGAAAGACATTGCTGCATTTCAGTGAGTTTCCTAGATAAAATTTCCACTTCCTTAGATAGCTGAGAAGTTTCCTTTTCTCTTTGTAAGTTCTTTCTTTGAGACAAATTAGTAGGCTCCAGTGCGCTGGTGTGGTCCGGTGTGCTGCTGTGTCTGGGCACTGCTGCTGACTGGTTAACAGGCTGAGCGTCGAGCGTCTCTGGGGCTATGCAGCCATCGCAGATACTGGACAAAGGACTCTGGATCTCTTCAATAAGCGGTCCTCCTGGCCTTCCACTCTGACTACTGGTATTAGCTGTTGACAAGAGCCCTCTGTTTTGATAACAAAAATCTGGAGAAAGACCTTCAATTAACTGTTTTCTATCTGCTTTATTTAACAGAGCACTGAAAGTAGAGTAGGCACTCTGCCTTTCATTTGAGGTTACTGAAGATTCTTCTTTCAACGTTACTTCTTTAACAATCAAACGAATGTCATACTGATCGGACTTTGAAGAAGGAAGAAATGTTGTATCGGTGAATTTCTGCTTTCCCACCAAAATCAATAACAATTTGTCTGTCAAGAAACACATGCCTTTTGGTCTTTCAGTATTCTCTAGGTGAATTTTCTGGATGCTTGGCACAGAACATGGAATGACAGAATAGATCAAAATTATATTACAAGTGTTAGAAGCCACTGCCACTACCTGTGCTTTAAGATTAAATGCTATGAGATCAGGAACCAAAATGCCTGGAATGGTGACTTTTCTGCTCATGGCAACTGCTTCCTTAAAGGTCACAAGGACTAAATGTGAAGAATCCTGGCCTGTTCCTGTCAAATAGTCCTTTTTTCCTAGAGAAATAAGAGAACTACCCTCAGAGCTACGCTGACTGAAATGTACACCAGTTAGGTCCAGAGGACCTAAACAGGAAGGAGAAAGTGGTATTTCAGAATTTGTTTCAGTATCAATTGCACCTTCATCCATACAGGGCACTTCACCAATAACTGGGAAAGTATACAGAAAAGTGTCTTCACCATTAGGGGGAACGTCGAAGATTTCAGATACATTTAGGCCACAGATCTTATCTAGTGGAAGCTCAGTGGCTAGAGCAACCTGTGAGTCCACAGTTGCCCTGATGGAGCAGATGCAGCTGTCCACATCAAATACTGGGCAGAGGGAATACTTCTGAAGAGTCTTCTGAGCACTGTCCCAAATATAAGAATGCAGGCTGCTGCCTACTGCCACCACCAGCCTCTGGCCATCCTGGGTCCAACATGCACACTGAATGCGGCTCTGCGTGTTGATGTCTGCTTTTACCCGGGAACTGTGATAGTGAACATTAGGGAAAACAGAAACATCCTGTGCAGTCAACACAGTCAGGATAGCATTTTTTGGATGCCACAAACAACCCTGGGGAAGGACAGGAAGTGATTCTGTAATCTCACAGGTCTGAGACATCAGCCATTTGCTTGTCTCCATAGTGCTGGGACACAGCAGCCACACAGTGACATGCTTCTCGTGCTGGACAGCAAGCAGAGTGGGTATGTCAGCTGTACCAGCTGGGGCCCAGGACAGACCACAGACATGTTCAAACTGTCCAATGACTTTGGAGTCCCCAAACTTGGCTTCTCCATTGTGAAGCTGTAAATTGGTTAGGACTACCTGACTCCCATCAGTCCAGGCAAGGCCATGGGTTGGGTGTATTGCTTGATACAACGCATTCAGTCCAGTCCTGAGCAGTTTTCCTTTCCCCAACTCCATCCTTTCTGATATCTAAAATGATTAAAAATGAAATTTATACCATGAAAATATTATCAGACAAATGCAGAACATAGGACATTTTATAATAATACAACTGGCTTAGACTCTTCAAAGGTCAGTATTGTGGAGGGATAAAAGGATAGGAGGAATGTTGTAAATTAAGAGATTACTGAGCTATAACAAGCAAATGCAATGTATAAACTTTGATTGGATCTTGAATTGAGGAAATATCTTCTACTAAAAAAAAAAAAAGATATTTTAGAACTGGGGAAATCTGAATATGGTATGGATATTAGAAGATATTAATTTTCTTAAGTGTGAACATGGTATTGTGGTTATGTAGGAGAATGTCCTTATTGTTAAAATACACATGTTGAAGTATTTAAGGCAAAGTGTCATGATGCCTACAACTTGCTTTCAAATGGTTTAAGAAAAAACCAAATCTTATATAGAGAAATAAAACAAATGTAGCAAAATGTTAATAATAATTGTTGAATCTAGATTGAAGCTATGTTGGTATTTATAGCATTTACAACTTTTAAGTTAGGAAATTTTCCAATTAAGGTGTTGAGAATAGTTTCCTCCATCATCTAATGTCTATTCATCCTTTCACTGCCAAATCAAGGAATAACTGATACTCATGTCTCTGACTTTTTTAGCACTTATTTCCTCAACTCCTTCCAAAATGGCTTTTACTTCTCTACTGAAATGACACTCAAAAATTACTATTTCTGTCTTCAAATAGCACTTAATAATTTTCAGAACATTTTCACATTCCCTATTGCATTTAATCTTTGCAACAATCCTTCACAATAATGTAAAGTAGGTTAGGCAAGTATTAGCTTCAATTTTTTCATTCTGAATATTTTTTTCAGGCATTTGAATCCCTAAAGTACATTTTCATTGCAATGCAACCCAAACAAACCAGAAGTGCCTAAAACAAAACCGTTTCCTCCCTCCTCATGCAGACCCCTCTTTAGCTGCTCCAATCTCAAGGCCTTGATGAGAGCACTGTTACCAATTTGGTAGCCTTTTAAACTGTTAAAAAAACTTGCAAAAACATATAGGATTTTATATGTCCTGGCTTTTCTTTCAAACAAAAAATGGGGTATGAGTCAATGGTACTAGCAACAGAAACCACTCTGGCTAACGTAAACTAAAAAAGGCGGCTCAAGCAAGAACTAGGCTCAGAGACAGAAAGTAGAATAGTGGTTGCCAAGGGCTGGGAGAAGGGAATAGGATGTTACTACTTAACATGTACAGAGACTACGTTTTACAACATGAAAAGAATTATGCAGCAGGACCAGGCTGGCAGGGGCTCCTGTGGTCAGTGGCCCAGGACATTTTATTTAAAAAATAAAAATAAAAAAAAAGAATTATGGAGATGAATAGTGGTGATGGCTGCACAACATTATGAATGTATTTAATACCACTGAACTGTACACTTAAAGATGGTTAAGATGGTAAATTTTATGTTATGTGTATTTTACCACAATTCTAAAAATTGGAGAAACATCTTTAAAAGAACCAGGCTCAAAAATAAGCAGGAACGAAATGAGGCTAAGTAGAATAAACTACTGCCACTATTGAAGCTGCTGTGAATCTAACTTCGCTACCCCTTTACTTAACAGCAATTAGCTTAAGATTCAGAATCTGGAGGAATGTCCCACCGGCGGAGCCCAGCTCACAGTGCCCTTGCTCTAGCTGCCAGGAGGGAAGAGGGAGGATTTCTCCCACCAAGCCTTCTGTAATAAATAGGGAGTGGTGCTGCCTCTCACACAAAGAGAGTTTCCCTCCAACTAGGAAGGAGTTTTCAAAAAATGACAAATGATCATGACAGGAATCATGTTATATATTATTTACTAATTTATTTTAAATCATGGGCACTTTTCCCAGTTAGTAATACAGTTCTGCCTCAACCTTCGAGCAGCTGCAAGGTACTCCATGTACCATAATTTATCCAGTGATTTCCCTATAAGGCAGGAATTCAGCTTATTTGCAATTTTTATTTAGATGTGGATAGAGTCAAAAGTTTGGTGCTCAATTCTCATCACTTTTTTTTCTTCCAATGTCACCCACTCTTAAGGTTTCAATTATCACCTCCTATGTAGACCACTCTCAGATCTGCATCTCTTCTGGCTTCTTTGCTGAGCTACAGTGACATTCAAATACACACTGGGCTTTATATTATGGCTAATATGAGCCCTGCTCATATTCGTTTCACACTTAATGTGTATAAAAGAAAAAAATTTCTCTCAACAGCAGCTCCCTGAATTTCTGTCAATGATACACCCATTCTAAGTTCACTAAAGCTAAAAACAAGAGACTCAGTTTGACTTCTCCTTCTCCTGCCTTCTCAACTACTTACTTACCAAGTCCTATTAAATCTGAGAATTGTTTCTTGAATCCAGCCCTTCTTGTCATTCCCGCTAACGACAATGCGAATCAGAGCATCATCACCTTAAACACAGATGACTGCAAATCTCCTCCTATTTTCCCTACTTCTAATGAGTCTTTCCTCCTCCAGTCCATCTTGTACAAGATCAATCTTAAAGTGCCCTTTTTTAAGCACATGATTTTATCAGCTTAAAAATGATGAGGTTACCCACTGCTCACAGCCATGCTGTTCAATAAAATAGTTACATGTGCCATGTAAATTCAGTTCCTCAGTCATGATAACCCATGTGGCTAGTGACTACCATATTAGACAGTGCAGAATAGAACATGTCCATCAAAGTTCTGCTGGACAGCACTGGCCTATATGATAAAGCCTTAATTCTTCAGTTTGGCCTTCAAAGCCCTTCCTAATCTGGACCTATCTCTCCAGGTTTATTTCCTTCTATTTATTAATCTTCACAGTTATAATGCCGAGCACATTCAAAACACTTAATAGGCCAAGCATAGTGGCTCACACCTGTAATCCCAACATTTTGGGAGTCTGAGGCAGGAGGATCGCTTGAGTCCAGTAGTTCAAGACCAGCCTGGGCAACATGATGAAACTCCATCTCTATAAAATTTTTTTTTTAATTAGCTGGGCATGATGGTGTGTGCCTGTAGTCCCAGGTACTCAGGAGGCTGAGGTGGGAGGATCCCTTGAGCCCAGGAGTGTAAGGCTGCAGAGAGCTATGATCACACTACTACCTCCCCGCCTAGATGACAGAGCAAGACCCTGACTCATAAAAATCCACAAAAACTTAAAAAATAAAAAAACAAAACCCTTCAGTTTACACTCTATTTAGCCATGAATCTTTTAGGTAAGTATTCAAACCAGGAATTATTCACACTTTGTGAAGATAAATTAACAACAGAGTCATCACCTCCAACTTTCACAATGTAGAAAAAATCTCCAAAATTATATGCAATATCCATGATAAATGACCTTCAGTCCAGGTATAATAATGAGAAAGAGAATGAACGGGAAAAAATGTTAAATAAAAGTGAGGTATCCACAAAATATCTTTGCACATCCACAATCACAGTTGAAAAGGAGTGGCCGTTTAGCATGTAAAATATGCATTATGGTAACTACAAGCATAAGTCAACAGCTGGAAGCCCTAAAAAATTATTTTACCTACAAAATAAGGTCAAACTTTTGAAATCTACTAAAATGTTTTAATAATAGAACATTAATAATAGAGATGACATTTCAGAATTTTTTAAATCCTACTAGTTCATTCTATAATTGCCTGTGTGGAATAACAGCTTTTACACTTGGCCATTTAGTTTGCAGCCAAATGTACATTTGAGGCACCTCAGGTTCAAACTTCCTTGATCACAGAATCAGGATACTAAGGATTAATACTATAGGCAAAATAATAGCAGTGTTATAGTAGCAGTTTTCAGTTCAAAATTTCAAGACACTAACAGGAGTCAGGTTAAAAAAATGTGCCTTTTGACTACTAATCCTGTGTGTCAAGTGACTATAATTATAATTTTTGGATGTAGCCCCACTATGACGCTACTCATGGAGAAAATAACATTGATCAATATAGTAGATGGTTGATTCAAATCCTTTTTGCAAATAGATTATGTAAAAATTATATATAATACTGTAAGTGTATGTAATGATTAAAATCTTATAAAATTAAATGCCAAAATCTAATTAACAAAACTATCATGTTTTTAAGAAGGCAATAATTTTTATTGTAATTAAGGCTCCAAGACGTTTCAAAACAATCTCATTTTTAAGGCTTTCAAATGCTGTTCATGTATATTCTCCCTTTAGATGGCTCACATCTACTTTTTCTAGCCAGAATGCTCTATTTTACTTTATTCCCAGTACTAAAGGAAAAGCAAAAGTAGCATTTAAATTCCTATTTGTCACCAATTTTTAAAAATTTTTACTTTTTTTTCATTTTTTTTTCAAGCTATCTTTCAGAAATGATGTCCCCATTTAAAATACAGTAGAACCTTACTAACTTCGGTCAATTTTGATAGTAAAATTTTGTGGTTAGCCTTTCTCTGAAATGTAAAACACACAAAAACAAAGGAAATCAGGAAAATATTATTACTGAATATGCCAAAACTAAGCATATCCTACAAATACAACCCAGACATTACCTTGATTTGCTGGCTAAGTTAGAAAAATACCAGGGGAATAAATGTGCGTTGTACATGACACACATGGCAGGTCACGCAGGATTTGATACAATCCTTGTAAGTCTTGTAAGGGATGTACTATTATTCTTATTTCAGAAATAATAACTTTTCCAAAAAGTTAAGAAACTTGTCCTGTACATCTTACAACAAAATAAATTCCAGATGGACTAAAGATCTAAATGCAGAAAACAAAAGTATAAGAGATTTTACAAAACATAAAAGAACTATTCTACAGTACTACAGAAATACTCAAGCACATATAAGGATATTCATTGCAGCATTCTTTTTTTTTTTTTTTTTTTGAGACAGAGTCTCACTGTGTTGCCCGGGCTACAGTGAGTGCCGTAGCGTCAGCCTAGCTCACAGCAACCTCAAACTCCTGGGCTCAAGCAATCCTCCTG